CAAGAGGTCCAATAAACATCTTTACGGACGGATCGAAGCTGGAAGGGAGAGTTGGAGGAGGTTTCTACTGTCAGGAGCTCTCAGTAGTAAGAATATGAAATAAAAACTAACGGGGCTGCATTTTCTTGGTAAACAACATTTTACCACAGCGCTCAGAGCAATCTGATACGCATTATTTTTTGAAAAATAAGAGTTGAAAACAGTTTTTAAACATGAATATCACATTATCTAATTATATAATATAATTGTATTATCTCCGACTTTTTTCAATGTTTTCTAATATTCGTTCTTCTGGTATGCAAAAGCAACCACGAGCTCAATTTCTTGTGGGGAAATTTGGTCCCCATAAAGGACTTTCACCACGAAACAGTTACAAAAACAAAAACTTTTCTACTGGTATACTGTGCTATTTAGATGTTAAGATCAAAAACCGCATAAGTCCCGGACATGTACGGTGTTTCTCCTCATTCCTCATTTCTCGCGTGTGCAATCAGATTTGGTATGCTAAAAATACGTTCAAATTGACGAGCTAAACATGTTAAATGGGCTTAAACCAGTTAAATGAACAAAACATGTTCATAAACAAGTTAAATCGGTGCAATTGTTGGAAAATTGAACCAGTTAAATCATTTAACTCGTTTGAAAACCAGTTCAGCGCAGAGTTGTATCAGAAAGCTTTCTGCTCCGGCCAATCAGAAAGACCCAAAAGCTTTCATTTGACACGCCAACGTTCAAAAAATTTATATTCTGAAAAATATTAATAATTAAAAATTATCAAAAAATATCAAAATTGTATGCATGTCTGCCCGCCAAAAAAGAGGCAAAGGCGGTAAATAGTTATTTCCCATGAGGTCTCATCGTACGCAGAGATAAATAGTGCACAGGAACTAAACATTTTGAAGTCTCTTAAGTAATCCGTATGCGTTAATATCATGAAGCAGACATTCGCACAAAACAAATTGAAACACAAAAACTTGAGTTTGAATATTTTTTTTTCGAATTTTTATTGGTAATCAAACAACAGTCAAAGTTAACTCCAAATGTGCAATGTGGACGATTGTGTTTTCCAAAAAGCTCTTTCATTTAACAAGTTAAATGGGGCTAATTTGAACGTAATATAACGGTCAAGTATTATTTAGTAAAGGTTTTAGGCTCAGACGATGAAGATAAAAATTTTAAACAAAATGGCTATCTTACCTTAAAATGTAAAATTTTGGACTTGTACGGTCGTCGAACTCACCGATTCAATTATAATCTTAAAATTTTTAGGATGACGATTACCGTAATCGCAATCATTAAAATTACGATTACGATTACAGTAGTCGTAATCGTTAAATGTCAAGATTCGCAATCAAGCTTGTTTTAATTACAATTGCAGTAATCGGAATGCTGCAAATTTTCGGGATTACAATTACAGTAATCAGAATCCTTAGTAATCAAAATGTAATCCTAAGTGCCCAACTCGGATTTAGCCCATAGCAAGAGCTATAATATTTACACATCAAAAACTCTGTACCTAAACTAAATTGATTTACTGTATGTATGCATGTTTTGTTTCAAATTACAGCCATTGAGTCCAAACCACCAGAAATGCAGAAAGCTATTGATATACTCAAAAAGTCTTCTATTGAAAAAGTGAACCCTAATTCAGTACGTGGCACTAAAGAAGGTAAGAGGCGTGCTATAGTAGGACTTCAAGAACTAAATGAACCCAAGCGCTCAAAAATTGAAGAATCATCAAATATAGACATTACTAATATCTTGGAAAATTATTCAGTCCATAAGGACCTGATAGATGCCCGTCGAAAGGAAGACGAAGACAAATATTTTAGAAAACTAGAAAAGAAAGAAGCAATGGAAGAAAAAATGCTTAAAACGTATAAAATGCCCTGTAAAGCAGTCATATGTAAAATTTGTAAGTATACATCTTTTTCCGCAGCTGACCGCTGTAAGGAAGAAAGGCATTTACTTAAAGTAATAGATGCCGTAAAACGCTTTTTTCAATGCAAAGACTGTGGAAATCGTACGACGACTCTTTTTAAAATCCCAAAGCTTAGTTGTACAAACTGTAAAAGCTCTAGATGGGAACACTGTGCTATGATACGCGATCGGAAATTATATACTACAATACAGCAACTTTCGGTTAGAGGAGATGAAGAAAAATTTTTAGGAAGCACGACAGCGAAACTGAATATAAATCTACTTATACCAACAGAATAATAACTATAATCTCAATGCCATATTGGAAAAATCATACTTGACGTATATTCAGTTCGAGTTAAATGTAATAAAAAATGCGTGGTAATAAAGATTTGAATTGACATACATATGTACATACATATTTAATGAGCAGCAGAGTTATTGGAATGGTTATGAATGAATATCATCTTCTTATTTGGCGCTGTAACCGCCTAAGCGATTTTGGTCGAGTTCAACTAAGCATGACAGTAGTTTCTCTTCTGGGGAAAATTTTCCTTAAAATCACCTCAAATATGAAAAAAAGAAAAAAAGAGGGGGCTTAGAAGGGGTTTTCTCTTCTTCTTCTTTATTGGTGCTGTAACCGCCTGAGCGATTTTGGCCGAGTCCAAAACAGCACGCCAGTCAATTTTCTTCTGTGCTAACTGACGCCAATTGGAAATGCCAAGTGAAGCCCAAGTCCTTCTCCACCTGGTCTTTCCAACGCAGAGGAGGCCCTCCTCTTTCTCTGTTACCAGCATCGCGACCCGCGTTGAATATTTTAAGAACAGGAGCGTTCCTTTCCATTCGAACGACATGGCCAAGCCAGCGGAGCCGCTGAATTTTAATTCGCTGCACTATGTCTATATCGTTGTAAAGCTCATACAGCTCATCGTTANCCAGCATCGCGGCCCGCGTTGAATATTTTCAGAGCAGGAGCGTTTCTGTCCATCCGAACGACATGGCCAAGCCAGCGGAGCCGCTGAATTTTAATTCGCTGCACTATGTCTATATCGTTGTAAAGCTCATACAGCTCATCGTTAAATCGTCTGCGATATTCGCCATCACCAACGCGTAAAGGTCCGTAAATCTTTCGCAGAATCTTTCTCTCGAAAACTCCCCCTCATCAGATGCTTTCATTGTCCATGCCTCCGCGCCATACACCAGCACAGTGATATATAGTATAGAGTGTGATCTTTGTACGACGAGAGAGAGCTTTACTTCTCAATTGCCTACTCAGCCCAAAGTAGCACTTGTTGGCAAGAGCGTTCCCCGTTGGGTTTCAATGCTGACATTATTATTGGTGTTAATGCTTCAAACTTGTAACTGTCAACAGTGACGGGGGTGCCAATACGCGTATGCTCTGACTGTTTGTGTGATGACAGGAGATACTTCGTTTTGTCCTCGTTCACCACCAGACCCATTCGCTTTGCTTCTCTATCCAATCCCGAGAAGGCAGAACAGACGTAGCCCTTGTTTTTACCGATAATA